AGTGTAAGATGCAGCCGTGTCCGGTGCCGTAATTAATAGACTCAGATTTATCTTTTAATTTATTCATACCATCAACGTAAACTATATACACTTTGTACAAATAGAAATATATAAAATAACAGAATTGTTAAATTTCCAAAATTACCACACTGAGCATTCGGCCTCTCCCACTGAAAGCCAGTCTCCAACTTACCGTTTTTTTCCGCCTAGAGGGCGCTACTTGTTTTCAGGGTTACAGTTTCGGAGGACCAGGCACTACGATGCATAAGTGAAAAATAATAAACTGTACCTGACTTCTTTAAAACATAGAATAGTGTAATATTAGTATGCATTTAATCTTCTACCATTTTCTTCCTTTAAGGCAAATTATAAATGGTATATAGTGTAAATTTCCCCACTAATTTTTTTTTTTTTAAACCAAAATTTACACATCTTTATTTAAAACAGTTCTATGCATTGAAAGATTTTGAAAATTATCATGCCAAAGAAAGAAATTAAGAAGTGTCGTGATTCATATAAAGAGATGAAAAAATAGACTAGATAAAAGTAAATGTATGATTGAAACAAGAATTTTTTTAAACCATTTGCAACACGTGTTAGTTTTTCTCTAACATGGTTGTTCTCATGTCATGTGTGAATAGTTTTCAGAATGAATAACTAAATTTAACGATTATGACATTAAAATTTCTTGCTTTTTTTTTTTTTTTTTTTTTTTTTTTTTTTTTTTTTTTTTTTTTTGTTTCATTCAGCACATGGGGGGGGGGATGTTTGCATTCTGATGACTTGTTTAAAAAATTTCTGTTGTCGTGAAGCAGAAAAGGAAAACAATCAAGTTATTTTATCAGACTTTCTTGTTTCTGTTTATCAGACTTTGTTTCTTTGTAATTTTATTTTTGTTTAATAGTAATTTGTTTTTCATATTTCTGTGCTCCCTTTATTTATTTATTTTAATGCAGTTACTATATATACTTATTTGTTTTTACTTCTCTTTATTTTTTGGCCTAGTATTTAAAGTGCAGGATTTAAAAACTGTTGATTTATCCTCACAAGTTAAATGCAATCCCTGAATTCTAGGTGTCTAATTTGCAAGAAAATGCTCATAAAAGTTACTTACTGGGTGCAAGTTGGCAATTTCGGTGACTTTTTTAAAGACTTCTCCAAACTATTAATATTTATTGTAATATTACTAGCAAACTCTATCAGTATATCAAACGGTAATATATTTTATTCATTTAAAATACAGTCAAAAGTCGTTAATTCAGACATTCATAATCCGGAATGATCTATAATTCGGACCTCAAAGCGACAAACTTTCTGTGCATGCTTTGTGCGCATACGCGTTTAGGCATGTGCATAACACGTTTACGCATGCACGTTTAATGTATAACAGACGGTCTAAGCTAAGCTAAAATTATCTAATTCAGTTTAATGTTGTAGATTGCGTTGTTCCTTTATCTTCAAATTGGATCCGGCTTATTATTTTTTGCAGACTGTTAGAGCAATTTTATAAAAGTAAGCTTGAACTTTCGATTATGCCTAATAGAATTTCCGATATATATTTACTAATATGTAAAGGATCTACAAAGCGAGAGTATGTTTCGAAGTCCATTAAACAAAAAGTGGAATTGCTGCAAAAAATGGATAAAGGCATATCCTTTGTTTCTCTAACCATTCTGAAATCTGTTTATCAATTTCACGCTGCTCTGCGGCGAGGGGGGGGACGCCGCGGCGCGCAATGAATTGGAAGTTGATCTGTCAGCATTATCCTTATCTTCAGAGCAGATGTTTTTATTTTATTCAGGTATTATTCCTCACTAAATGTAGTATTTCATCTCGATGTACTCCGTCTTTGATATGATTTAAATCAAATTCCTCGTCATTATAATTTGCTTCCAATAGTGAAGAAAGTGACACAGAGGTTATTGAAAACGAAAGAATTTCGATTGACAAATTAGTCGGTATTCTCGACACAGCAATTATAGAACTTGAACAGCTGCACTTTGATACATTATAGATTAGGTATTTTTGAAAGCAGGCAAGATGAAAAATAGCAAACGCCTTCGCCGGGAATCGAACTGTGCACCTCTCAAATGCATTGAGCGTGCAGACCACTACACCACGAAGGTTTGCCGAGAAGGCAGGAGATATACCTTACATACTCTTCCCTTTTAAAGGGTGACTGGGGTTTTTAGGGGACCCAATCGCCAAATCCTAGGTGAGAAGAATCATCATCCAACACGTTTTTAGTTCAGGTGCCACTGTAAAAAGGTATTTTTTTGGAAGCAGGCAAGATGAAAAATATGCAACGCCTTCGCCGGGAATCGAACCGCTGACTTCTCAAACGCTCTGAGCGTGCAGACCAGTACACCATGAAGGCAGGAGAAATACCTTATAACATAAAAAAATAGAACCCTTACCGTTTTCGAAAAATTCTAAATTCTGCTATAAATTTTTGTGGTGTTTCTGTCACGCTCACAGCAGTCTGCTCTTGCTTAAAAACAAAATAATGAAAACCCTTCTCCTCTCCCCAAAAAAGAAAGAATTTCACAACCTTGGCATTGTGCACTTATCTTTTTCGAGATATCTTTCCATAATTTTTGTGTGCTGTTGCTCTTCCCATGAATACAGCAATGTGTTTTTGGCCCATTTTCAAATTTTGCTTTCATATGCTGTCCCAGAAAAAAAGAAAGAAAATTCAAGATAAATTAAAAGTTTAATTTGAGCAAGGCATTGCATAAAGATGACTATAAATATATTTCTACAATTCAAAATATAAAACAATCAATTGAAATTTTTAGATATAAATCTTAAAATGTGTGATCATAGGCAAAAATGTCTGTCCCTATCAAGTTTCATGTTATTCTACCTCTTTGTTTTATAACCTGATTTGTTTTGTAATTAGATTTTTAACATAATTATTTAAAAAATGAACTATTAGTGTGTTATATTCATGATAAAACTTAATTACAGATGCTTTTTTCTTTAATAAATCAATAGAAAAATAATTTGTCTTCCACTTCATGTCAAGTCCGTTACCTTGAGATTATTTTGCCCATAGATAAACGAATCATGCTAAGTTTGCTTTGAATATGTACTACCCCCTTTAGGTAGATTTACAAACTAATTGGGGGGGTAAAATAATCTCAAGGTAACGGACTTTGCATGAAGTGGAAGATAAATTATTTTTATTGATTTGCTAAATTTTTATCTAAAAATTTTCAATTGATTTTTTTATATTTTAAATTGTAGAAATATATTTATAGTCATTTTATGCAATGCATTGCTCAAATTCAACTTAATTAAAATATTAATTCAAATATTAATTTATCTTGAATTTTCTTTCTTCTGGGACAGCATATGTAAGCAAAATTTGAAAATGGGCCTTTTGCTAAAAGAACACCAGAGAGTTGCATAACCTCAGCACTGCACATGGGCCATGATAACAGTTGCTCAAGAACAGTTGAAATTTCAGCGTACACTCCAATACAATGAAAATAAAGGAAGAATTTTGTTTCCACTTTTAAAAAAAATAACAAATTGTTGTCAAGTTGCAGTCATTATCTATATTGTGCACCATAGGAGTATGTGTTGCACAGTTTGTTTTAAAATGTAGATTTGTTTGAATAAATATATTGGAAAATTACTGTAATTGGAAAAAATTAGCAAATAAGCAATGTGACATACAAATTAAAGAAATCTTAAGATAAAACATAAAATATATGTAGATACTGATATGTTTTATCATTTATGTACATTAAAATAATCATGTGTCTGTTAAAAAGAGCTAAAATTGTTAAAATATTAAAACTTAAGTATTTGCATATGGCATGATTCACAAAGAGAAAAGTGTTTGTGTAGGGAAGAAGTATGAGGTGAGATTAAAAAAAAAAAAAAAAAAAGTTGCACAGAGTCAATTCAGGTGAATAGGGTGGATGTTCCATCAGATTATGTTTTTGCTAATCACAAACAGTTTGAAAGAAAGGGCCTTCTGAGCTGGTGTATTGTGGTGGTGCAATAACCATCCATCACTCCACAACTCTGGCCTACTTCTCCTAATTTTTCCGTGAAGTCTAGTACTTCAATGTAGTAGGGCTGAGTAACAGTCTGACCACTAGGAACCGACTCTGTCATTAGAATTCTCTTAATGTAGAAGAAGACAATCAACATTGCCTTGAATTTTGATTTTAACATGCACACTTTTGTGTGTGTTGAGGATTCTAAATACTCCACTGCATCGATTTTTGCGTACTTCCAGGATCCAAGGTAAAAATCCATTTTTCATCACAAGTTACAACAGATTCCAAAAAGTTTGGATCATTTCTAATGCATTCTAACATGTCCACACACAAGTCTTTATGGAACTGCTTTTGGTCATTGAACAGAACTTTTGGAAGAATCATCACACAAATCTTCCTTATATGTTATTCCTTAGTTAAAATGTGTTGAACAGCTTCAAGCTAATCAACTCCACCACTTCATGAACACTTAATCTTCAGTCAATCTGTTATTGCTGATCTTGGGGACCCAAAAGCATGGAAGTATCAGGCTAATACAGGGCTCTTAACCACGAGGGAATTTCACAGTTTCTAGGAAGAATGTGGCCAGCCTTTTATTTACTTGTTAAGAATAGTTTTAGTTTTTGATATATACATTATAAACATTTTTGTTGAAGTTTTGGTATTTAGCAATATTTTCTATACTTTCTTGTTTAATTCATAAAATGCATTAAAAATATTTTAAATGTAAATAAATGTATATGTATTTTTTTAATTTATGCAAAAGAAGGGGAAGGGAATAATCATCTAGCAATGGTGAAAGGAACGCATGTTACAAAAAAGGTTGAGAACCATCGGCTAATAATTACTTAATTAATAATTACTACATTATGTTATAGAAATGCTTTGGTCTATTTGTATTAATACTGAAATGTTCAAAGTGGAAATTATGATTTATTTTTCACTTACTTTTCACTGCTCAGTAAATGCATTTTAATTCTATAGATTCTGAGAAAATGGCACAGTTTGCTTTAGAAGAAAAAAATGTCCGAGATGAAAATATTCGCCTCCAGAGACGACTACAGATGGAAGTTGAAAGAAGAGAAGCCTTATGCCGTCATCTTTCTGAGAGTGAATCTAGTCTAGAAATGGATGAAGAAAGGTTGTAATTAAAAGCAAATAGATCATAATTTTAAAATATTGACATGGCTTTGTTAAACATTGAATCTAGTCTAGAAATGGATGAAGAAAGGTTGTAATTAAAAGCAAATAGATCAGTAATTTTAAAATGTTGACATGGCTTTGTTAAACATTAAGACTCGCAATTCACACGTGTTTTACAACCTATTTTAAAGTATTACAACTTTGCTGTTTATTAAATTACTAGATGATGTAAAGATACTTTTAGACTCAAATAGAATGTTAACACTACTTTTTTAATTGCTTATTACAGGGTTGCCATGCTACCTGGAAAACCGGAAAAAGTCAGGAAATTCGAAAATTGACCAAAAAATTCAGGGAAAAGTCAGGGAATTTAAATATTTTAGTCAAAAATCTGGAAAAGTCAGGGAATTTCATACAGCGATCCCCCCCCCCAAAAAAAAGTGTTTGCATCGACGTTGAAAACAATCACTTTATTAGCGAATTGTGTATCACGTGAGCGTCCTTCGGGCAGCTGGCATAGAGCCAATTTTTGCAGCTTCAATTAGATTGTCTTTTAGAAAGGCAAAGCAAGTTTTCAGTAACCTCGAGAATCGCATGCGCATGTTCAGTGCATGCTGAACTAAACAAAATACTTATTCTCGTATCAAACAAACTCGGTGTGTACCTAGAACTTTGTAAAATACTATATATATATTTTTTAAGTGAATTGTTGTTTGCATTTATTAACTGTTACAACTGATTTATAAAGATGCAGTTATAATTAAAGTGAATAAAATTAACCACAAATAAAAAAAAAAAAGGACAAATTTGAGATAATACCGAGTAATAATTTAAGATCTTACCTAGTCAACAGAGGAAGAACAAAGGTCACAGGGTTTGGTTTAGAACCTCAGATCTCCTGAAATCGGTGGTGAATACGTCTTTCTTTAGCTGTTTCTCCACCAATGTTTTATTAGTGTTTTATACTGCAGTTATTTCAGAACTTCTCTGTTGATCTTGCAAATTTATAGCAACCTTAAGTGACTGACTTGATGTCACTAAAATTTGTTGAATGAAACAGATACTACAGTTGCATCCCCAAGGTTGTTTCCTGTTGTAAAAAACTTATATACACTTAGTTCATGCTTTCTACTGCAACCAGAAAAAACGTGACATCATTTAATGGCCATTTCATGTACAACAAAACTAATACATTTTTGTCCTCTTTTATCTACTACACTTAAATCTAGTGTATGAATAAGTCTGTAATTTTTCAGGCAGTTCAATGAAATGACAAGCTGTGGTCATATGAATTCAAGATCAGTGCCTAGTCCTGTTCCGCTGACCCATCCAACTATGTCTTCCAATCCTCACAGTCCAGGCAAGCACTACTTTTTTTTTTTTTTTTTTTTTTTTTTTTTTTTTAATCATACATTAAACATTTTTGAAATATATTTGTAGTCTCATTCAAGTAGCTCAGTAAATCATGTAAATCCCAGTTATGATTTTTTTTGTATTATAAAATTAATATTTTTTATATTATAAAAAATCCACAGAAATATTAATGTAAAATATATTTTCATAACATGAAAAGCCCTCAAGTAACTGAATGAATAAGGCCACTAATCACTGATAATTCAAGCCAAAATTAAATTCCAGTGGATGTATTGGCTTGATTGTTCATTCATTCTCGTGGTTTGCCTACGCATAATGTGAATATGAGCTAGTTTTTCTCACAGATTCTGTCATGAAGGCATCTCTCTTTATAGACAAACGGCTTTCGAATCTTTGCCATATTCAATTAAACAACGCAGTATAGAAAATTTGCATGCAACTTCCAAGTTAAACAAGGAATCCTAACTACAAGATGTTGCTTTCGTGCAGTTAGGAAGCAGTGAAATCATGATGTAAGATGCATTTCTATTACACATTTTTGCTTTGATTTAAAAATCAGGGTTAAATTAATATTTGAACTTAAAATGAAACTATTCTAGCAAAAAAATCAATTTTGGATATTAAAACAAATGGAATGTTTTAATATTGAAGTAATATTTTTACATATAACTGACTCCTCCTCAAAAAAAGGGGGGGAGATGAAAACACTGAAATAAAATGTGTGCAAGAAAGCATAAACTTCAGCCAAATAACTGAAATTTTGTAGAGTAGATCCTTGCACCTAAAGAGGTGTAAAATTCAAATGTATATCTCTGTATTATAATCTCATTATACATAGATTAATTGTGATGTCATAATACAAAATAAAAATTTGTTGCCCTGCTTCTTTCGTTTTGAAAGAGGTACAGCACAAAATTCAAGATGTTTTGGCATAAAACTCGGAAGATAATTATTTTGCCAGAAAAGAAACATACTCTTTAGTATGATGGTTAAAGCAATATGTCGAAAATTATTGATATGTGATTACATTCTCCCACCAAAAGGCTTCATCACCAAGTTTCACTTGACTGCCTCCTTCAAACTACAAAAATTGAATATTTTTTAATATCAAAAGTATGAATATGTATAAATTATAATCTGAAATTATTTAATATATTCATAATGAGATTAAAAATTGATTTATACTTTGCAAATGTTTTTCTGTATACCTTCTTTTAGGCAGTAACTTAATTTTTATAACAATAATTATTTTATATTAAATACATATATTAATATGTTTCAACTGTAATTTGAAGAACTTAAATAAGGTTATCATGCTCTTGCTAATGGATGTTTTATTATACAGTAATACCCTGAATTTGCACGATAGGTGGTACTGAGTGATAAGTACGTAAGTTGGGGTATAATTTCACATATTAATACATATAAATTATTTTTAGTTGGTGGCCAGAGACGAAAGAAAATAATAATTTAGGGAAAAAATGTTTAATAAAATCTTAGAAACAAAAATATAAAATTGTAAATCAAAGTTATATTGATGTAGAATTTTTCATAAAATCTAAAAGTAGTCTGCTGGTTAAAAGATTTTTTGTTTCTCCCTCAAAATTTCCTTGTAGCATGCTAATAATTTTTTAATTCCTTGTTGAAAAAATACACTCTTCATTGGAGTATATATTTTCTAAAATTCGTAATCCTTTTTTCAATTAATCTGAGGCCTTCTGTCGAATTCTCAACCATCATTTGATCTTCTGATTGAACTGGGTCTAAAAGACTCCAGGTTTTCGATGTCTTGCTCTTGCATTTCTATGAGCTCATCAATTGTCAGCTCCTGATTGTGGGAACCCAGCAATTCTTTAACGTCATTACTTATCCACTTCTAAATTTTTGCCAGGCAAGATCAACAACTTCTTCAGTCACATTACCAATTTCATCAGGCTTTGGATCTGTGTGCCTGAGTTTCAGTGATGAAAAAGAAAAGGAAACAGTTTTTTCTAGATGCCAATTAGAGATTTTTGTGAAACTTAATTTCAATATTGTTCGATGATTCTTACTGCATCTAAAACATTGAATTGTTTCCAAAAGTCTTTAACAAAGAGCTTGTTGTTTTGCCTCAGCTTCATGCAGATGTGCAATTGATAGTCTCATATAATAAGCTTAAATACTTTGAAAACTCCCTGATCCATCGATTGTAAGTAAACTAACTGTAATGGGTGGCGAAAATTCAAGTTTTACATGTGGGTCAAAATTAGTTATAGTTGCAGGGAGATGACTTGATGCATTGTCAGTTATTAGCATCACTGTTTAGATTGACAATAACATTCTTCGTCAGGTATGACATGATGACCAAACCAGTCCTCAAAAAGGGAAGCTGTTAGACTTCTGAATGATAGGCAAGCCAGCTTTAGATTTATTTTTAATGCTGTTTGGATTTTCTGAGTGATAAACAGAGGTTTTAACTTACATTCTCCAGCTGCATTTGTGCCAACCATCACTGTCAAATGATCTTTGGCAGCTTTAAAACCAGGAAAGGTTTTCTCTTCACTTGCGATAAAAGTTCTTTTAGGCATTTTCTTCCAGAACAGGTCCGTCTTATCCACATTGAATATGGTTTGGTTGGTTTAGCTGCCTTCATCTATCATAGCTTTTAATTTCTCTGGATAATAAGATGCAACCTGTATATCAGCACTTGCCCCCTCTTCACTTTCTGCAATGCTATACCAATTACAGCCAGTTTTAAGTCAGCTGAACCAACCATTACTAGTTTTGAACTCTTCACCTTTAGACGTCTCTCCAGCATCCTTTTTCAGAAATCAGATTAGGTTGAAAGCACACCATGTTTTTACCAACAGGACAATTTTTCACACTTACTGGATTATCACACCATAATTTTAACATAGTATCCATTTCAGCGATAATACCATGGTGTTTTACAAATGATGGTTAAATTTAAAGACTGAGTATTTTTCACAGCATCGAGAATTTTTTTATCTTTTATAACTCTTTTGACTGTCAATTCTGGTTTGGTGCAGAAGAATCTTTGGATGACATAGACGTCTCTCAAATCTGAGTATAATGACTCAGATATATTCAGATATAATCTGAGTATAATAACTCAGCTAAACAATAGTGTGCGGGGAAGTGAATGTGAAAAGCGCTGTGGCAAGCATTGCAGACGTTCCAGATATTGAGAGGAAAGTTTGTCATTTCACACTGCTTATGATCCATTATGCAACATTTTGTTGCCAAAATCGAGTTGTGTTGTGCTCAAAAGACGAATCAAAGAGATTTGAAAATCGCGTAACTCTGGGTTTGCATAAATCTGGACATTACTTACTGTATACTGTTTTTTCAAACATGGGTTAAATTTTTCTCAACTTAGTTAAGAAATTAAAATTCTTAAATAATCAAGCAAAGGTTTAGAAAATCTTATTTTTTTAATTCCTTGGTAAATATATTACATATAATTTGTGTTATAGAACTTAAATACCAAGTGTTGTTTCACATTTTTATTAAATATAAACTGTGTACTTGTGCTGAATACTTACATCCGTTTCTTTTCATGAATAAATTATTTTATTTGTCAAAACATTTTGATTATTTTTTTTCAAAGCAAGCGAGTTTTAAAAAATGAACAGTGTCCCTCCTCCCAAAAGTCAGTTACTAAATATTTAGTATCTGATATTTGCAAATAAAACTGAAAACACAAAAATGAATGCCAGCCACTGTAAGTCCATTATTGAACTGAACTTTCTATGCCTTAATTTTTTTTTACTTGTATCTCATTTTTAATACATATTTAGTTTAATAATTTTAAAGTCTCCTCTTTACACTTTTAAGTTATCAAGAGTAATTTTTGTAGAGTATTAGTGTCGCTTTCTATGAAATGTCAATGTTTACATGACAAATTGTGTAAAATTCATCATATAAATACTGTATTTTTTTTTTAACATCAGAAATAATAGCTTTTATTATAGGTTATAATTGTGATATATTTAAGTTTACATTCAATTTGGCTATTTATATGTCTGTTGTAGGTTAAAATTTATCATCCTATTAATTTTTTTTTCTCCCAATAACAGCCATGAGTATTTCTAGCAGCCGAGAAACATTTAGTCCCAGTTCTTTCAACAGGTGCCACCACTGTAATCAAAGTATAACCCAGCTCAATGTGATGCCAAGTCCCTCACCTCCACCAGCTTTTTCACCAGGCTCTGTAGTAAGTAAATATTTTAATCTGCAATTGGCTGTTTAAAATTGAATTTTGGAAAAATAAATAACTAAAAAAAATCTGAAAGTTTTCAGATTTTGTATTACGCCCAAAGAGGCCTTTTTTTTTTAAAACATTTTGTGTGTTACCTTTATGTATTAAATATCGCGTTCCTTGCACTTAAACCATAAAATTCAATTCAACAGCAATATCGCAAAATAATTTAAAAAGATTATATCTTTAAAATTTTCGATACACAGTCTCGCATGCTGGAGATAAAACTGTTTCCCCTCCCTCCTGTATAGTGATGCTATTGCTTGCTTTGAAATCGTCGAGTTTCTTAATCAGAAATTTGTAAGTACTTTACAAAATGTGAAATAGATAATAAAACAAATTCCAAATTTGGGCTTCCAGACGCCCATATTCGGGTGGAGACCTGCGTTATTCACTGAAAATACGAGGGCCATCCAGGAAGTAGATTACGTTTCCGTCTGTGTCCGCTAGGGGCGGGGCTAGCGCGGCCATCTTGGGGTCAGAGCGTTGCGCAGCTCAGTCTGCATCTAGCCGTGCTAGTGAGAGGTTCGTGCTGTGCTCCGTTCAGATACTGTGACGGTTTGAAATGTCTGCGTTAATTGAAAATCCCGCGAGCTGCGAGGTGCGCTCAGTAATAAGGTTTCTGACTGCAAAAAAACTGTAAACCGATAGAAATCTATCGGCAGCTTCGTGAAGTGTATGGGGACAACATTATCACTGAAGGTGGAGTGCGTCAGTGGGTCATAAGATTTCAAAATGGCCGAACCAATGTTCACGACGAAGATCGAAGTGGGAGACCCCAGCATAGTGACCGCCGAACTTCTCGAAAAAGTCGATGCTAAAGTCCGTGAAAATCGAAATTTCACAATAACGGAACTTTCTTTGAGTTTTCCACAAATTTCGCGAAGTTTGTTGCACGAAATCATCAGCGAAAAGCTTGGTTACCACAAGTTTTGTGCAAGATGGATTCCAAAAATCTTGACAGAGGACCACAAAAATCAGCGAATGGCTGCAGCGTGAACGTTGAACTTTTTGGACGCTTACCATAAGGATGGTGACTCTTTACTCGATCGCATCGTTACTGGTGACGAAACATGGGTGAAACATGTGAACTGTGAAACGAAATTGCAATCAATGCAGTGGGGGCACACAAGTTCTCCCCAAAATCCCAAGAAATGCATGCAAACAATGTCGGCAAGGAAGATGATGGCGACTGTTTTTTGGGACAGAAAAGGTGTAATTTTGGTGGACTTCCTGGAAAGAGGCACTACAATAAACTCTCAAAGGTATTGCCAAACTCTCCAAAAACTCAGAAAAGCAATTCAAAACAAGCGCAGAGGAATGTTGAGCTCTAAGATCTTGTTGATTCACGACAACGCCCGGCCCCACACGGCAAATGTCACTCGTAAAGTTCTTGAATCTTTTAAGTGGGAGTTGTTTCCTCATCCGCCGTACAGTCCCGACCTGGCACCGAGCGACTTCCACCTATTCCCAGCAATGAAGAAGTGACTGGCTATGCAGCGTTTTGATGACGACGCACAGCTGCAAGAAGAGGTAACGAAGTGGTTGAAGGCGCAGGCAGCCGAATTTTTCGACGAAGGAATTTCCAAGCTCGTACATCGCTACGATAAATGCCTTAATTTGTATGGTGACTATGTAGAAAAGTAGTATTTGAGTGTGGCTTTCATCTGTATATAATAAAATTTGTTTCCTATACTTTGTTTATTTTTTTATTCCAAAACGTAATCTACTTTCTGGATAGCCCTCGTACATGATGCCTTTTCTTTTGAAATAACCTAAATTACATGTTTTTAAATTGTAAAGACTTATTTAAATGTTTCAACAAATAATCAGTTCTGCTTCCATGATAATCTGTTTCATTTTTTATCTTTACTTATCAAAATCTCATTTTTAAATCTCTTCTCAGTTCTTAAATAAATAAATAAATAAATAAAAAAGACCATTAAGAATCAGGCATTGTATAACTACCTAAGGCATCAAAAGTCATTTTAAGGTATTTATCTTTGTAGGTGTTCTGAAAGCCAATCAGATACTCGTATCAAGCAACATTTCAAAGATTGGAGTCGCTTGGTGGATGTCCGAAATATTTTCCAAATACTCTTATTTCTGACTTACACCGGTAAATATGGACATTCACCATGTACTAATGGTGAATGTTGAACATATAAGAATATTATATTTTCTTCTTCGTAATTCAGTCGCGAAAAAACTCACTTGAGACTTAAAATAAGAACTTAAAACACACAGTACATTCAAAATGAGAATGGAAAATAATAGAAGTTAAAAACTTACTTAATTGTACAGTACGTTCTAAATGAGAAAATAAAATAATAGTAATAGAAAAGTTACTAAATTATGTGATTCAAATCTTATTTATTGCAACAACTTAAACTGTTATGACAATTTGAATTGTCAACTCCTCTCTTTTCGACCTACACAAGAGCATATCTGTGATTGTCGACATGCACCAATGAGGGTCCGAATGTACAAGAATGTAATGCAATATTCAATCTTTCATCAATGTATTTGGTGAAAGTTGACATTCTCCAATTTTGATCTTTCACGATAACATATATATATATTATGTATTTACTTTGTCAGCATATATATATAAACAAGAGTTTAGAAATTTCAAAATGAAGATTATTAATTATTCACAATAAATATTCACAAAATGAAGATGATTAATTACACACAAGTCGCACAGTGTGCTGCAAAATTTAATAAATTATGATACACTCATTAAATCGTATGTATATATATATATATATAGGATTCATTTTTACATATGTATTAATATTTGTATATGTAATGAATCCTGTAGATAACTTGAGATTAGAAAATAGCTATTAAAGATGAGATGCTTGCTTGCAAGGCTATAGTGCATAGATCCATATGATGACATAATGAAGAGAAAGACATAATTTATTTCTCAACGCTTAATACATTCTTAGTCTCACACATCATTTTTATGAGTATTCTATTCTGTAAAGCTCACATCTTTTTTAGACAATTACTGCAGAGGCAATAGATGCATGCCAGCAAGCAAAAGAAGGAAAGAAAGGGATGCGCAATAGTAAACAGTGATATTTATGGAAATTTTTTTAAAATCCGATTGAATGGGAGTCATCTGCATTGCAGCATGATTACTTAAGAAACATCAAATGAATTAATTAGAAAAGATGCAATCCAGAAAAATTATTATAAACAATTAAGAACACAAAGGAAAGATAGCCAAATTAAAATGAGGAAATAAAAGGACTATTGCTAAATTAGTAGTTTTCTTCCTTATTTTGTATTTTACACACACATACACATATATATATGCTGACAAAATAATAGTCCATATTGATAATAAATATACAAATGTTAAAGATTAATGCAAATCATTATTTGTTCACGACAGCATAATAGTAAAAGCGTAACTTTGCATCAAGCTGCTTTTTTTTTTTTTTTTTTTTTTTTTTTTAAAACTGTAGTTTTGATGATCAAATGTTCATATTTAGAAAATTTAGTATTATTTGCTCTTATTTTTAGAACTCTCAGGGTACAGGTTCCAATTCAAATCGAGGTAAGTCACCATCCCAAGAGCGTTTTTTAAAGCCAGCTGCACCACCCTAGAAGAGCTGCTAGATGCTTGGAATGCTTTAAAGGCAGTGTGGTTAAGGAGCAATGACATTTTATTGTTTCATTTAAGGTCCTTATTTGCATTACTTACAAGTCATGCTTCTTAAATATTTCAGTGTAATTTGTATGAAACACACGCTTACTCCTCTTCAAATCTCAGTTTTAAATATGAGGTTGCAGCTTCAGTCACACGTTTTATTTATATTCAAGTGTCTTGTGTTGAAATGTTATATATTCCTTAATTTTCATTTTTGTCTTGATTTACACACATATACATGCATCAGCCTAACAGGGAAATGTTATTAGGAAATATATGACATTTAGTTGCATTTTACAGAGTTTAAAAATGTTTGCTATTGAATGCAAAGATTAATTTTTGTTCTCTTAATATAGTTGCATTTTTATGAAGGCTTTGACAGGTTCAAATATAGGAAGTGTTTGCAGCTAATTAATTTAATGTTCCTCTATTTGTATATATTTGTTTCAATCTTTTATTGTCCTTTCATCAGCAACTGAAATTTTAGATGACATTGTAATTTGTATTCTTAGCTTCTGAACAATGGACAATTTACTTACATGTGCTTTGTACTTATATTATTGTAATATGTTGAATGAGCTTTTCTGAATTGTCATATGAAAATTTCAAAGCAAGCAATTGCTTACAACTTTCCTTTTTATATGTATTTTTGAAATAAAGCTCTTTTATTTGAATATGTGTGTATAATAAAATTTTAAGATTGTTATGCATTTTTAAAACATAATGATGAAACTAAATTCATAAAAGTTTCTGTAATTTTCAATCGGACTCATGACTTAGAAACAAAGGTGTTATTATATCAGTCGTTTTACCTCAGTAATCATGAACATCTGTACAAATACCAGTGTATTGCAATTTAATAAAGAGAATGTGTGTGTGTTCCACAAAACAATTTAATTATTCATGCCCAATTTTATCTGTACACACCAAAATAATGCTATTTCATAAAATATCCAATTTATTTTTGCAGGGAATATGTGAAAGACTGTCCAATCATAAGTGATCAAATAGTTTTTGATATGCAAATCAAGGCATTATTTCTGCAATACAGTGTTTGATTTCATGTGTAAAGACTCACAATGGTTTTAGATTAACATCTTGTTCTAAATGTGTTTACATTTGGAGGGAGTCAGGAATGTGAGATTTTCTTTCGAACATCATGGAATGCGACTGTTTCGGTAATGCAGGTGTGAAAGCATAGGGAGGAATAATGATCGACACACAAACACCCCTATACATTTTCAACAGTGATCTGTTACTGGCCTGAGATAATGGAAATCTCTGTTAAGACTTTTCAGAAGTGCATATATATGACTTTATTTATGGACAATAATGCTTGTCACAGTAAACAAATCCTGTTAATGAATTCATTGAAGCGAAGGCATTGAGCAAATACCATGGCCAGAAAAATCTGATAAAGAACATATGGGACTATCTTGAAAAAGCAGTTGCACAGTGACATCCTCCTCCAATAGATATAAATGCCACGAAGATTGCATTGCTGGAGTGGAACTTAAAATTCCTTAAACTGTGGTTAAGAATGCCAGCATGAAAGCACATCATGACGTGTGTTTATGACTGTCACAAGCTTCTCTTACAATGGGAAATTAATAAGAGTGGGAAAAAATGTTAACTCTATATTAAAAAGAAGTTTTATGCCCAATATTTACTAGGTCTCACCTTGAAAGAAAAGTATCACTGGATACGTATAGGAGCTCCTATTTGTTTTTGGGCACTCATGCTACTCAATTTTATTTACAAATATCAGTTACTAAGTATTAGCTAAATGACCTTTTTCTGTCGCATACACTTTTGTTAGTTTTTTTTTTAAACTTTACCTTTTTCTGTCGCATACACTTTTGTTAGCTTTTTTTTTTTAAACTTTACGTTTTTCTGTCGCATACACTTTTGTTAGTTTTTTTATAAACTTTCTGTTTTGAAAAATGTTCAAAACATGTAAGGTAAAAAATAACAATGAACATTTAATAAAAACATTGAAATAAACAGATAGTCAGTACTCCATAGAATATCCTTTAGTTAAAATTACATTTTCATGTGCTTTGGCATGGATTCAACTAATATTTTTATGTAAGAACTACTATATGTACAGCTTTTGTAGAAATGCTTCCTGATTCTTTCTCCAATCTAGGTCTTACATATTTGATAAGATTCAAGTCCAGATAATATGGAGGAGTTTTCATAACTTCAGGACAGTTGTATGATAAGCGCAAGTCAATATTTATAGCTATATGTTTAAGATCATTATCTTGATACAGCTTAAAGGTTCTTTGCATTCTAAGTTTTTTTGAAGATGCTTTAAGGTTTCCATTAGGAATATTTATATATTATTCATATTGCTTTCTCTCCTAATCTAATAATCTTTCTGATCCCACTGGCAGTGAAACATCTACAAACAATTATTCCTCTACCCCTAAACTTAGCAATAGATTTTACAAATTAAATCATTCATTTGGCTTTCATCACACAGTAATTCATCCACTGACACAAATATATTGAATTGTGACTACTAAAAATGTAACACTATTCCAATATGATAAATCTGTTTACTATGGGTTTTGCAAATACCAGGATTATTTTTCTTGTTTTCTGATTTGATGCAGATTCCCATTCTATCTGTGCACCCTAAGGACTTCTCAAGCAGTTTCAGGGTTAAATTTTATTGCAGACTCTTCTAAATATGCTTAACTTTTACAGCACCAATTTCTAGTTTTTAAAAAAAAAAAAATTTCATAATCTATGATGTCTTGGGTATTAATTTCGAATATGGCCCAGATATCAGTGCATTTTCAACAGTTCCACTGTTTAATAATATCAAAGTCAAATGCTTTACATCAGGGATCTTTTGAATACTATGTTTAAAAACGATGAATAATTAAATTTCTAATAGAATTTGTCATGTGTTACCATATTTACTTCAGATGTGGAACTGCTAATACCTTTTGGTAAATATATAATAATTTCAAATGTAGACAGTAATTCTTGTGATGTATTTTATTTAAAAGAGAAAATTATGACGAGAAACATCTCAACAAAATCTGGAGCGTCTGTATACAAGTTACTGCTTAACACATTTTGAACAAATTATTTTACTACTACTAATTATTAAACTACAGAGAAAAAAAAAAAAAATCTGGAATGCTGTTTCAATATTTAGTGTCTATTCAAATTTTAAAAATGCAAGTGTCCAAAAACAAATGTGAGCCACTATAAAAGGTCACAAATATTAATAAACATCTTTCTAAATTGACACATGAGCTCCACTAGATACTGGTTCTGTATCTGGCATCTCATATGTCTAATAAAAAAAAATCTATCTGAAATGCCTAGATTCATCCAGACATGCATAATGAAAAGTAAATAAAAAATAATGGTATTTGAAAATGCAGCATTATCTTGTTTTTCGAAAATTCATAGCCTCCAATAAATAAATGGATGAAAAGCAAAGCAATGTAAATTCTTGTTATGAATAAATACATAATCTATTTAACTGCTTGCCTGATTATCCCGAGTTATCTCGGGTTTGTATACATTGCAGTTAATTATTATCCCGAGAAAACTTGGGCAAAGCAAAATTTGTCACTACGATTTGTTTCATCACGGTTTTACTCGGCCTGGAAGAAATGAAAGGAAATATTCAGCTTTGATTGGCAGTCTGCCAAGTTTTGCGGTTCTTTTGGCAGGACTGGTCATGTCGTTTTCCCTGTTGAATAGTATATATCCGCTTGTGGATTAGTAATGTATAAAGAAGGATAGTTGCATTGGAAAAAAGTAAAATAATGGTGATGATGCAAGATAGCAAAAGCGATGATTTTTCAGATAGTGATTATGAAGAGGTGGACATTTTCCAGATGTTATTTCTGTTACTGAAAAAAAGAGCCCACCAGCGGCCGAGCGGTAAAGTCGCTGAACGCTGGTAGTTCGGTCCGAGGTTCGAATCCTGCGAACAGGCTGGCTGCATGGGTGTTTTCGTGGTTTTCCCTATGTGTAACGTGTATACGAGCCAGTTTCCCTTAGAAAGTCCTCCACGAAGGCATCCCTTCCCTTAGGCAGATAGCCTTAGTGTGCTCTGCCATAATAAAATACACACACAATACACGCTACTGAAAAAAACATCAAATCTAACGAGACAGTGTACTCTGCGCCCGTAAAATGGATTCCAGGGGTAAGCCAGTAAAAAAAGGGACCAGATACCAGTGTACAGAATGTCATGTATCACTCACTTTGTGCCATGTTTCAAAAACTAATATTTAACTTTTTTTTTTTTTTTTCATTTGCTCGAGATAACTCGGTATATTAAAGTAAAACTAAATGTTTTTACACCGGTAAAAAATTAAAAATTCAACTTAAAACCTACGTACTTTATGTTTCATTTCCTGGTATTTAATAATAAAATAAAAAAATGTGATGATTTTTTGCAATTTTTTTTCAAAAAAATTTGTATGAGATGTGGTTAATAAATACTGCAAGAATGTAAGTAATAACTAAAGGAAATTTAATTTTTGAAAAGTCTTTTTACTGCACAAAAATGTCCATATGATAGTTTAATTAAGGAATTAAAAAAAATTTCCCTAATTCAGGAATTCACATTTATTATTGACATTAGAAAACTTCAGCTTCCCAATTCCTGTATACAGTACAAAGTCTTTAATCCGGACTCGTCGGGACTTCGGCGATTCCGGATTATACATCATCAATTTAAATCTGGTAAGATGCCATGCAGAAATTATAAAATTAAAAATATGAAACTGTAATTTATGAAATAAAGAGCAATTATGATCTAAAGGGTATCAAAATTTACAAAAAAAAAAAAAGCTTAATATTTATTTGTTTACTTTATTAAACATCTTTCAATGTAAGTTGTTTAAGTTGCTTCGTTGTATGTGCTAATACTTTCTCTTTAATTCTATAAACAGACATAACTTCTTGTTCAGTTACAAAGTTCTGCTGTTCAAGTCCTGTAAATGCTGTGCCGAGAATACGGATCAACTTGTCAATCGAAATTTTTTCGTTTTCACTAACCTCTCTGTCACTTTCTTCATGCATTTATCCATTTTTTGCAGCAATTCCACTTTTTGTTTGATGGACATCGAAACACGCTTTCGCTTTGTAGATCCTTTGACAGCTCCAGAATCGGAAACTCTTTTTGACATAATCGAAAGTTCAAGCTTACTTTTTATAAAATTGCTCTAACAGTCTGCAAAAAATAATAAGCCGGATACAATTAGAAGATTAAGAAACAACGCAATCTGCAACATTAACTGAAATAGCTAACAACGCAATCTGCAACATTAACTGAAATAGCTTAAATGTGCATGCGTAAATGTATTATGCTCATGCGCAGAAAGTTTGTAGCTTTGAGGTCCGGATTAAAGACTTTGTACTGTATAAGCAAATAAAAAATTTGTAATATCAGAGTATTTTCTGCATCTGTGGTTTCAGTTATCTGTCATTTACAGAAGGAAAAAATTCTCAAAATGCATGCTGAGTAATAATGGGAAAATAAGTAGTTTGATCCAAAAGTTTCCGGCCTAGCATGGAAAAAAAAAAATATTTAGCTATAAATTCCTCTTGGAGACATGCCATTGCAAAAATAAGTTGAATATATTTGAAAGTTTCAGTAAAGAAATCGTATGTGTTCTTTTTTGACTGTTTACTGAATGAAGTGAAGAACATTTGTTCTGGAATGTTAAAAGTTGAGTATTGTTTTTGTGATTAAATTCAACTAAAAATCTTAATGTCAAAGAAATAAAACAGTTTCTGGTTCAGTTATATGCTGATTTGTCTCCTTCACAGTGAAAGAATGAATAAAACGATTTTGCATGGGCCCAAATTAGGACTTATTGTGCAGGTCAACCATGGAAGACATTTACAGAAAATACTGCTCATGTCCAGAAGGAAATATTGAATGTTAGATTAAAAATCAGGGAGATAGCAGCCAGACTGGATCTATCTTAAACATCTATTTTCTGCATTCTACATAACACAGTCTCTGCAAGATAGGTATCCCGAGCATGAGCTATCCCCCTTTATACTAAAAAGTAGCTGGAAGACATACAGGTGCATTTTTTCTGACCTCTGCATGCATGGGTTAGCAGGTGCAAGACTTTTCAGACAATTCAATACTAATAAAATAAATGGCTGAAACACTTTCAACACTTGAAAGTTTCCATGGAAAAGAAAGTACATTTTTTTAATGATGTGACCAAAGCATGGGATGAAAATAGTAGTCACTTGCATAGATCTTTACTTTCGTTCTCAGCTTAAAAAATTAATCCTCGGATTCAGAGGAATATTCTTCCATCTTATTGTGCTTAATAACTAGAATCATACTGGAAGGTAAAGTGCTGGACTCTTCATTCTTTATTTTCATAACTACACTTCTGTGTTAAAATTTCATTCATTTTCTCATTTATTTCTAGTACTCTCTCTAGTATCATTAATGATGCTTTAACTATTTTTTTTTTTATCGGTATGCTGGAAAAAGAATGGTCTTTATTTCTATCATTTCTTAAAATAGCAGGTTATTTCACTATTTCTTAGCTTTTGAATGAAACTCTTATCTCCATCTGGAGCACTGAATAATGTAATATCTGGTATTTGATTTTATTATTTATTTATCAATCATTAATTTAATAGTTTATTAAATTTTCATTTATCTTCTTATGTTTCATTTTGAATTTTCATCCTTATGTTTTTACACATTTTGAATTTTATCTTTCCATGAGGCTTTGGCCATTTCTCATTTTAGAAATTAAGCCTTTTTGCATTACATAATAAGTTTATTTTATATTGTATAGCTGAGCATAAAAATAAAACTGATCAAACAAATATTTGGCATTTACATATTACTGCAACCAATTCAGTAGAGGCTACCAAATTTCTAGAATGCATCAAAATTCTGCCAAACATGTGAATAACAGTTCTTCAGTTTTATGTCATATGCACTTTTTTCCTTTTTAAACATTCTATGTTCTAATGATCTTTATAAACAAACTATGATATTGTTTGCATTAAACTTATCTTTAAAGTATGTATTTGTGAGATTTGCTGCAATGGAAGAACTGCGGTAAAATTACTGTGCAGAAATACAGTATTTTGCTGAAAAATGGCTAAAACACTTATTTTGATTCTATTTTTGTTGTGAATATCATGAAATTTCAAAAAGTTAAAAAAAAAAAAAAAAATTCTTGTAACATTCACTGATTGATTGAGATAATTATCTGCATAAAGTTGTCTGAGATAATATGCAAGTACCAAATATTCAAGGTACAACTCCTGCAACTATCATTTTCTACTATGAAGACACACTTTCAGTTTGCATTATATATATATATCCATTATATATAAAACTGAATGTACTAACAAACTGAGTATAAAATTAAATGGATATAAATAATATTCTTTTATTTGTTGACACCTTATTCTTTGCTTTGGGAAAATGATTCATAAATAATAGGTGTTCTAAAATTTTAATAATGTTTTCATTTTTTATTACATATTTTTATTCATGATAAAGAAAAAACATATTTCATGTTAAGTAAAATAATTGACATAAATGAAGTGAATTATAATTTTACTAGAAGAAAGATTTAATCTTATTAAAACTGGCTAGGATCAATATATTTACATACAGCCTCTATAGTTTCTCACAAATCGCTTTATTTCAATAAATATTTTATACAATGAATGCAAAGTCATGTGGTTTGTTTTATGCTTCCTAAATTATGGCAAGTAAAAAATTATGAATATTTTTATAATTACATTTATACCTCAATTGTAAAATGATTCGCAAATGAAAGAAAAGAAATGAAAATTTCTTAGCATTTCTTTTCCTTCATCTGCCAGCAAGTGATTGAATGGTTGAAGCTGCAGTTGTTTACCAAACATTTAAATGGCTATTTATGTGATATTTTCCTCATATGTACAAATATGGGCCAGTCTTCCTTAGAAAGTCCTCCAGAAAGCATCCTTCCCACAGAAGATAACCATAATGCATTTGCAATAATTAAACAAATTCACTGATTCCATTCATTTGACTGCATGAGCAACACTTCAGAAGACAAATTTACAAATAATATAAATAAAACATATTTATCTAAATTATTATTCCAGAAATTCTACAATGCAAATATACAAGAAAGAAAGCATCAAAAATCAAATAATTTTGAGAAAACAAATTATTTGAATTATGTTTGTAAACAAATGCACCTCACACTTGAGAAAGCAAAAGATATAAACTCCACTTGACATGGAACTGAAAATTGAATGTGAAGTAACATGTTTTAAAATTCTGCTATAAATCGAGTCTAAATGTACAGAGTAACCCTACAGTCTGATGAATTATCGCTTGAAGATGTCAACATTCCTTTATGGAGGTTTTTATTTATGCTATGTGAAACATTTGCTTTATTCTATCTTTACTAGTCCATAAACAATATGCTGAAGCCATTCCTAGACCTAGAGCTCCTCCTATTCCACATTTCCTTAAACCAGCTAGAAGTGAGAAGAAAAAAAAGTGCATTAACATTTATAAGTAAAAATCATTTTATATTTAATATTTCAGATAATACTAAAACATGTGCAATAAGTGTCTGAAAAAGGCTTTCTATTTTATAAGTACTAAAGATATCCAAGAAGAAGAAGGCAAAACAGTTCACAATACTCCTCTTAAAGACCTAGAAATGCAATTTTAATCTGTTTAGCATAAAAATAACAGTTTATCCAAATTTCAAATTTGCTAAGTTATATAAGCAAAATTACTGAAAGCAAATTTTAATTTCACATACTATGAAATTTTTAGGATAGCAAAATTTCAACTAACAAAGGTTCTTTCATTGCTTCAAGTTACCATATCCTTTATTGGACACATTAATGAATCAACAGAGTAATTTACATCCGATTGATTAACTGTTTTATCAAACCGAAGTATAATATGCAATAGTGGTATGATATGCCATAATCTATCATTTCTTCAGTAATCACTTGCTATTAAATAATATAAATCAGTAATCACTTGCTATTAAATCATATAAAAAAGATTTTATTTATTTCCACACCCAAATTTTTCAAATTACCATTTTACTGCATGAATTGTTAGTAAATAACACAGCATTAGCCATATAAACCATCTGAAAAATAAAACTGAACCAAAGAGCATATTTATAATTTGTATTGCCTTCTTTTCAGACTAGGGGTCTTAAGCTCTGCAACATAAGTACTGTTTCAGAATATTATTCGATTTCAAATTGTACTAAGTTTATTTCCATTAGTTTATTCCTGATGGGTTTCAGAGTTAGTTCAGGGTTCATAGCCACATTTTAGTTAAAAAAGTAAGCACCTATAAGCACTTTTCAAGCACATTTTAAGGAAAAAATAAGCACCTGTCTAATTACATTATGCACAACTGCATAACCTTAAAAGAAAAATTAGACTTGTAATTTAAAATATGGAGCAATGCAATATTTATTAAGAGAATGAGCATTACTTCAACAATGGAAAACAATTAACTTTTTTTTTTTTTTTTTTTTTTTTTTTTTTTTTTTTTTTTTTTTTTTTTTTTTTAAATTTTAAAATGACAGTTCAATTTCAGAATTGGTTTACAATGAGAGAAAAAAAAACTATGCAGAACTAAACTATATTATAAGATTTAATGATGATATTTCAGTTGAAAATATAGAAAATAAATAATAATAAGCCATATTAATTGTATTTATTTGGCACCTAATAATAAATACAATTTATTTTTCCACTCATATTAATATTTAAATAATTTAACTTAGATCAAAATTCTGAACATTTTCTAAATTTTCATTGCATAACAGTTTTCCCTTAACATATATTCCAAGCAAAGTAATTTAAGTAAAAAAGAGGCACATTTCTGAAATCAGAAGACGGGAAATTGCTTCATGCAGTCATCCTTTAACAGTAAAAGCTTAACTAACCCGCATGCTCGGAAATTCCCGAATATTCCAGATAGTAACTGGAAAAAGAGGAGTGAGGGAGATTGTAGCCGTTCTTTAGATTTCTCGGCGGCCAAATAAATGATTTTGGACGTTTCGATATGTGCATCATATAAAAATAGACCAACGGAACTGAGAAATATTCTGCTTAGAAAGTACAGTAAAACTCTTTTAAGTGTTCATAAACAAATCTCAGACTGAACACCAAAATTAATTATCAATGCAAAATACTGCAAACGTTATTGCGCAATACGTGCGGCATAATTCTTCCATATGTGATATTACGCAATCGGAATCAACACCTGCCGGTATTCGGAGAATAAAGAACTAAATAAAGGGGGGGGAAAGAGAGAGAAAGAAAGAGACTTACTAATCTGGGGTGTTTCTGATTCTAATTTTCAACAGACTGTATTAAATTTCCGGAATATAATCAATCTTCGCTTGGGTTGGGTAGACCGCAAAAACTTTTAGTCCTATTCAATCCAGATTGGACAGTGACAAAAAAAAAAAAAAAAAAAAAAAAAAAAAGTCCGCTGCTTCAATATTAGAGATTTTGCAGAGAAACTCCCAACCTCCGTACTGTATAATGTATTGGCAAAGAAAATGAAATTATTTTGACTATTCGATTACTTTCCTTTTATTTAAGCCATTATGAATATTATTCCTTAGAAAGCTAATCTGTGTAAAAACACACCCATTTTTGGAAGTTTATCTATACTTCAGTAGTTACTGCAACTGTATTATTATAAATATTCATACATATGCTCATAATATAAGCATAACGATCATAATAAACACGAATATGAACTGACCACGCGGAACGACAATGCAAATTATTAAAATCTTGATAAAAATTCAAACGTGTGCAGTATTTGGGTGGGAGGAAAAGAATACTAAATGTACCGGAATTTTCTACCCTTTTCAATTCTTTGGCCAACAGAACGACGTGCACCTGTCTGTACTCTCGCGCGCACCATAGGTTACGTTAATGCAGAGGAAGGGGGGCAAAGCAATTTCCGGGAGTATGATTCACCATCTGATGTTGCATATAAGGAAGAAAAGTTGTTTATTTAGTTTTGGTACGGGGAAAAAATGCGCGTTCATTAAAAACAAAGGATTAAAAAAACAGCACTAAAAACAAAACAAAAAATAAGGGCTTTAAAGAAAAAGTAAGCACCTATAAAGGCCTTTATATTTTATTTTCAAATATAAGGACTTATAAGCACTTGTAAGGATCGCTACAAACCCTGTTAGTTAGTTTCAGTTACAAAAGCATCTGGAGGAAGTAGTAGATAAAAATCAATACAAGCTAGAAACAAAGGAATGAGTAATTTTTTTAGGGGGGGGGTTAGGGGCTTAAATAGTAATTTTTTTTAATGCAGGTATTCATGTTGAAAACAATAAGTGTTAGTAATATGCAATACAGCACAAATTCCGAAATCTGGAAGTGGTATCCTGAATTATCAGGATCACGAATACATTTTTTTTTTCTCTTTAAAGAAATTTTTTTATATGCTTTAGGCACGCAAGTTATTTTTTTCATAATATATACATTGAGAATCCCAATTCTTAATTTAATTTCAGTACCACATAAAATACCTCCATATCGAAGAAATAATCATTTATTAGCATAAATTTGTATGGTCAATAACTGACTATGGAGATGAGTAATCTCCACAATCACCTTTTTATTTGCGATATAACTCAAACCCAAACATTGTAATCGAAAAATATCCATGACGGCAACCTGAAAAATCATTATCATCTTTATTTCTTTTTCCCTTTCATCACTGCATGATTATCAACACATGCTACCCTGACAGGGTTCGTACACATTTCTACGCACGAAAATTAAGTACTTTTAAGGACCATTAATAAAACAAATTAAGGACCTATGAGCAAATGGGAACTGAAAAAATTCAATTAAAAATATATCTATGCCTGAATTTCACTTTTGTGAGACCATCCTAAAAATAAAATAGATCTAAGTAGTCTGCATTATTACTAAACATGAATTAATTAACATAATTATTAATAAGTTTGAGAATAAAATAAACTTTATGCAATTTATCAAGTAGCATTAAATATTTTACACTTACAACAGATGGACATATTTGAAAGAAGATAAGTGACATTTACGTTTTACTCACAGTTGGCTTTATGTTGATTTTTTTTTAAATGTCTTATTTTGTCACGTACTTGGTCAGTCTAGAGGTTGAGTAAATAGCAAGTAGTTTTATGTCAAACGGCTATAGTAAAGGCTGGTTAATATGAGAAGTAAGATCATAATCAGCATGATTCAGAACAAAAGACTGAATGTTGTTACTGCTGCAGCTTGTCTAGAGAGAGACCTGCTCATTAGAACAAACCCTGAAAGGCCTGATGTAGGTTCGCAAGTATTGAAAGTTAGTCGGGCTATGTTTGATGCAGAGTGTCGTAGCTTTGTGTAGAGTTTCAGAGGTTGTAACCCAGTTAATATACTTTAAGGTTCCAATAAGCCATTAAAGCACCAGAGGTGATAAGTTGTTCTGTATTATTTTAAGTCTCACTAGATGCTTTTTATGTTTTATCTTGTGACACAGTGAGCATTAACGAAAGGCAATAACCCGCTTATACGTAGAGATAATTTTTGAGGGTAAGCAGTTAGTTATAAATAATTAAATTAGGTAATTAGATAACCTTAGTCATTATGGATTTACATGGCCACTATTAAATTTTATTTTTTAACAATATTTGTTAAAAAAAGCCCTATTAAAATCAAAATCTAATCAAATTTCACAGTTTAAAATGCATGTAATTTATAACATTGATTCTTAAACGATATTAGGATAATTACACATTAAAAGCTACAAAACATTTATGTTTTGAACAACAACACTCAACAAAATATTTATCCGTCATTTTAATTTGAAGCCTTCCCAAACATTTTGGCTAGTTTATATCGATTTCCTTCTCTTTAAGCATCTTTTCTAACAATTAGAGATTTGTCTCAAAATGGAAACCAATGCTCTCGCTAGTTTCTGCATCAACCTAACTGCTTTATCTCCTTCTAACTGCTTTATCTCCTAACTTGTCAACCTCTCCACAATGTACCTATGAGGGTTTACTTGATCTGGTAAAAGTTAAATAGTCGAAAACCCCCAACTGATGTGAAGCAAACTATCGCTATGTCTGAAAATAACTAAAATATCAGACAAAGGTTTAAATAAGCCTCTTATATAAAAAGAACACAGAATACAAAGGCATGTTCTGATGCTAACAAAATCATTTACAGCTCACGGTGACGTAATTAAAGCAAGAACAGTCAAATTCAAACTAAAAGTGTGGACTAGCGGTCAAAGATTATACAATTTAATTTTAATTTAATCTGGCTCAGTAACTCTATCGCATGAAGAAATAGAAATGGGAAATTATAGTAAAGGCTGAAATCTTATAATCAATTGGGTAATTTACATAATTATAACTGCACATTTTCTTTGTCTTTATTATTTTCTTTCTTTAACACGTTTCCTTTTTATTTTAGAATTTTTCGAT